ATCATTTGTTTCACCATAGATCACATGGCGTTTATGTCAAAAGCTGACATCGAACTGATTACCGATCAGATCACACACTCACCTGCCGCACCGTATCTGACACGGAGTCCCCGCTGTCCGCCATCCTCCTCTAATAAGTCACCGGTGATCCGGCAGCAACTGCATCACGGAGCCATCACACACCGGCCGGGCAGTGCCACCTGCTCGGTAAGCAGGGGGAGGGTGTTCGGCCCGCTGTCCCGGACGCGGATACCGGTGTAATCTTCCCCCTCTATTTATTGGCAGACAGAAGTATAATAACGGACCCCCCACCGCCCGGAAAAACCGGGCCCCCAATGCCGATCTTCCCCTTCCTGGCTTGGTACGACCCGTCGTGACGTCACGGGAAGGAAAGTTACTGAGAAGTACGTGTGCCTGTGGAGGGCGGGGCGAGCGAAGCCTTCGGCGCCATCTTTACTGGCAAATCTCCATGGCAACCGGCTGTGTTTAAAAATAGAACGTTGTGTATTCTAGATTCTAATTAATGGGGAATTGAATATTTTGTCACACAAACAAAAGGTGAAATCTTCCAATGGGGACACCCAAGAAGCGATTTTCCCCTTACTTTGGAGAGGCCTCCGCTTACTTCCTGTTGTGTCTCTGACACAGGAAGTAAAGGAAAATCTCCTCAAGGATTTAAATACACTTGATTTTTTTAGAATGAGATAGAAATTAGGCTCCATTTGATAATTGGCCAGGAGGAAACGGCGGAGGGACAGAGCTATATTTTCTGCAAAAAATACACTTAAAGTGGATTTTAGCACACATAATCACAATATAATCCCCGATTTTGTACAAAATAAAAGGTGACGTTATGTACAGTAAATAGATACCAAATACGTCAACCTTCAAAACTGCGAGCAACCGCGAAACGGCAAAAATCTACCAGAAATTGTCCATAGGCAGCGCTTTAACCCTTTTTCTGCCAAGGCTTTTTTTGCACACATGGTATAATCCACATTTCAGGCCTGAAAATTACTTAAAACCCCCAAGAGTTCTCTACTTCCTGAAAGCACAGACCCTGTACAATAAAATGGCGACAGTTACAAATGTCTACGTCGTGCAGTACAACTCTTTATCAAACCCAAATTTTCAGTAACAAAAATCACATTTAAGTTCATTTTAGCGCCCACAACACATTATAATACCCATTTTCAATTAAATAATAAAGATGAGGTTGTGCCGAGTAAATAGATACGCAACACACCAAGCTTAAAAATGTGCGCGCTTGTAAAACCGCGACAAAATGCGGTACCCCAAATTGTCCATATGTAACAATTTAAACGCCCCGCACAGGTCGTCACTTTAGAATCCGTGAATATTGGCCCTAGAATCATTGCTCTCTCCTGACGCACGCGGCGATACCTAAAATGTGTAGCTCGATCATCGTTTTCCTACGTAGGCGCACCCGACGCCTGTTTACGTTAGTATGCGCATGTTTTTCTATCACATAGGGGGGCTCACAAGCTCCCCTATGTGATAGCGCACTGGAGGTGACAGCTTCTCATTAAAGGTGACATAGGGTGGCTATTAGACCTCTAGTGTCACCTTTACCACTGCAAAGGAGCCATTCAAGTGCAGATTGCGCTTATATAGCTTCTCCCCTGAGAAGCCGAGAGCGAATGACAGCTGACGGACCGGAAGTGATACAATCAGCGTCGCTTCCGGCTCTAGCGTGGAGGAGATCGGCGGACATTCCGGCTGACACCTGGGATGCCGGTCCTAGGCCCGCAGGGGTGTCGGGTGGGGTAGGGGGATGGGGGGGGGCACAGCCTTTACCAGACCCTGGCTGCTCAGACACCAGAATCGCTTCCAGTGTAAAGCTGATTGTCCACTTTACATGGCTATACGTGTGCATTTGCGTTCGTAGGTGTGTGCACGGGGGCGATGGAATGCTTTTATTTATTTTTTCAATTATTATATTTTTATTTAATACAAATATTTTATTTGCATAACTCTTTTTAACATATTTTGCACTTTATTACTATCACAAGGGGGCTAACAAACCCCCTTTTTTCATTGCATTGGGCAGGTGACAGGTACTCTTTATTGAGACCAATATCGGTGCCGATACCCGAACTTCCGGTGTTAGGAAGCCGGGCAGCGAGTCCTTACATGCTGCCCGGCTTCCTGATTGGACGGGAAGCCGGCTCCAAGCACGGCCAATCAGGAAGCCAGGTGCCATGTAATCACTCGCTGCCTGGCTTCCTGACCGGGAAGCCGTCCAATAAGAAAGCCGGACGGCAAGTCATTACCCGCCCCCCGGCTTCCTGATTGGCCAGAAAGCCCGCTTCATGCCTCCTCGTCAACTGGTGACCAGGGAGCATGGAGGCGGCTACCGTGCTAATCAAGAAGCCGGGTGGCAAGTCATTACACACCACCTGGCTTCCTTAATGGGTCTCCCCGGCCAATCAGGAAGCCTGGCGCCGTCTAATGACTCGCTGCCCGGCTTCCTGATTGGTCGAGAAGCTGGCCAATCAGGGAGCCAGGCGGCGCGTCATTACCCAGCCTCCTGATTGGCCAGAAAGCCGGCTCCATGCTTCCTCGTCACTTGGTGATGAGGGAGCATGGAGACGGCTTCTGTGCTAATCGTAAAGCCGGGTGGCTAGTCTTTACACGCTGCCTGGCTTCCTTAATGGGACCTCCGGTATCGGTATTTGGTATCGGCGAGTACAGGGAAAAAAAATATCGGTACTCGATACCCAAAAAAACGGTATAGGAGCATCCCTAATTGAGACATCAGAGGTCTAGAAGTCATTATTATATACAAATACAAACAGCAGCAGCCCTGAACTTCCTTTGAACCTTTCACAGCCACGACATACGGGATACGTCCATGGTAGCGAAGTGGTTCATTTTACGTTGTCACAATACTATAAAGTGGGTCAGGACCAGTAAAACAAGAAAACGATCCGTGTAAAAGAGGTGATTGTAACTACAGGTATCAAAACTTGTGTGCCTAGAGGTACCAGCCCCCAAAAATCCGGCCCGGCACTTCCACCATGTTATAGTTGGGCAGGACCGCCAGTGCCGTGACAAGTATGGCGGTGGATGTCTATGGTCTGCTTTTCTTGTAGTGATCCCGGGCGGACCTCAATCACGTATTGTTTATTTTATTCTTATCTGTTCTACATCCTCGTCCTGATCCGGTTGGTCATTTCTTTAATTCAACAACAAACACCGTCCAGTTCACTTACAAACGAGATGCAATTAATCATTAAACCCAAAACTGGCGTCTGCCAACCATCTGCGTGCGCGCTACGTCAGATTACGTGGTATGGGAACCGCAGCAAGATGTCCCTTACAGGAAACTGAATGTGAGACAAACATGGAGGAGGCATCTGGGGACCCCTCCTTCTGGAAATGAGTTACACAGCTGTCATGTTAGGCCTCTGGCTTCAGTACATTGGAGTTCCCCAAACAAGCTGACCAGGACGCGTATGCTTGTTGCAGGTCTATGACTGAGCCAGAGGTTCAGCATCACAGCCAGGAAAACTGACTCAAAGTAATAAAGCTATTGGATCAGCGGGGCAGCCAGGAGACTAGCATTCTCAGAAGCGGGTGTCCGTCATGGTAGTCTATGAATTGCTCTCAGCACAGGTCTCTTTTACAACGCCCTTCACCTCCAGTCTGGTTTTTTGGTAAAGAGACCCTGTCTCTAGAGCAAGAACAAGAATGCTGCTGCAGATATTATGTCACAGGCACTCAGAGGTGCCTTCAAAAATTCTGCAGATGTGTCTAAATGCCGAACCTTCAACCCCAACATCATCCTCCCTGACCCAATAAAGCTTCAACCCATTCTTCCTCCTTTATAGTCCTGTACCCCGTACGTGTCATTTATTACGGATTCTTGCTAATAAATGTTATAACGTTCCATTATAAAGCCGTGTAGTGAACATGTCCCCCCTCTCTCCTTTCTTCTCTCTCGCTCTCCCCTTTCCCTCTCTCCTTTCTTCTCCCTCTCTCTCCCTCTCCTCTTTCCCTCTCTCTCTCCCTCTCTCTTCTCTCTCTCTCCTCTTTCTCTTGCTCTCTCTCATCTCTTTTTCTCCTCTCCTCTCTCCCCCCTCCTTTCTTCTCCCTCTCTCTACTTCTCTTTCTCCCTCCTCCCACTCTCTCTTCCCACTCTCTCTCTCCCTCTTCCCACTCTCTCTTTCTCCCTCTTCCCACTCTCTCTCTCCCTCTTCCCACTCTCTCTCCCTCTTCCCACTCTCTCTCTCCCTCTTCCCACTCTCTCTCATTTTGTCATCTACACATGTCTGCAGAGACTACATACAGAAGTGGGCAGGCTTCATGCATGTGGAGTTTGCTCTCCCTTTGGTTCTTACCTCCTCTGCTGTGTGAGAATTCTGCATCTGAATAAATTTGGTATAAAGATCCAGAGAATCCCCCCGTAAAGGGCAGTGAGGACATAGAGCTCGCCCAGAGAGTGAAGGTATGAGCGCGGGGTCAGCGCTGGATATGACGCTCTGTAAAGTGATCCTGCCTGCTGGGTATTTATGCCAGCTGGGGGTGACACGGGCGGATTAATGACCAGCAACTCAAAGGCCTTATCTATTACAGCAAACATAAGGGACGCACACAGGCGCAGGCGGCTCTGGGAAACGCTTATTAATCCCACAATGCAGGGAATGGAAAATGATTTTTGCAAAAGTAACCAGCGAATAGCAGAGTTCTATTTTTTAAAAAAACAGATATTTTTCCTGTAATATTAGGATTTGGTGGGATCAATAAACCACTGAAATTGTATATCTCTCAGGGATAATAATAATAACAATAATAATATAAAAAATGGGTATGCAGTGGTAAAATACCCCCTTACATTGGAGGTCAGTGGAGAAGGGTCCCCTTATATTGATGGTCAGTGGAGAAGGGCCCCCTTATATTGATGGTCAGTGGAGAAGGGTCCCCTTATATTGGTGGTCAGTGGAGAAGGGTCTCCTTATATTGGTGGCCAGTAGAGAAGGGCCCGCTTATATTGGTGGCCAGTAGAGAAGGGCCCGCTTATATTGGTGGCCAGTAGAGAAGGGTCTCCTTATATTGATGGTCAGTAGAGAAGGGTCCCCTTATATTGCTGGCCAGTACAGA